AAAAGAAGTGTATAAAATATTTTGTTTTTCTAATCAAAGCGAACCGTCTTTTCTGCTAACTCTACTACTATTTTTCATTCTTTACTTCCTTCACCTATATGTCAGGCGTCCCAAGAAGGAAACAAAACTCGAAGCTGTGAAAATATAAGAATATGAGGACGAACCTGAATATTGTTCGTTTTACATTTGCTGAATAGTGATGTATCTTCTGAATGCGAGCGTTTCATTTTCAGAATAGATGTTTGTTCACTACTATCAGTGCTGCGACTACGTTTACGACGTGAACATTTTTCATACTGTTTATGATTGATGTTATGACGAAGTTCAAGATAATTGCATGGTGTTATATATGGGCCTTCTTTAAAATCATGATCAGGATAATTTGGTTGATGATCATTCGGAAAAAAGCGTCGTATTTGGTGATAACGACTAACGGCTAAACTGTCAATTGGAATTTTACATTTATTGTCACACGATAAACTAATAATTTCTCTTGGATACAGCGATGCTAATTCATAACCATACTTTACTTGTGATGACCCAAAATGAGAATCATCCGATATTCTACAACTCATATCATTTCGTTTAGATGGAATTTTAGCATTAATCAGGTTTTTGTAATATTTGGATGCTAAAACGTTTTTAGCTGGTGCTTCTAACAACCGTCGACATGTTATATCTGATATAGTTTTTAAACGTGGATATATTGATCCTAATGTTGATCTTACATGATCTCTCATTTGTAATGTTGTTACACCTTAAATAACCAATTAAAGAAAATCATATAGAAAAAATTGACTCTACGAAAATATCGATACCTACCATTATAATACACAGCATCTGTTCTTCTTCTTTCTTGTGCTCCACCGGCATGTAAATTTAAAAACTTTTCTAATTCAGTAACAGCTGCTGGATATTGAAGATGCAATGCTGGTCTTCCTCGTCCTTGTACTGGTTTTGGAAGTGGTTGATTTGTTGATGACCGTATATTTTTAACTATAGGAATATCTTCGTATTTGGGATGCAACAGAAAATCGAGTGATTTATCATTCTCTGCATCAAAAGTATTGACAAAATTCTAAACATTAATGCATAAACTTAGCAATTACATACATGTCTCAAATATAGTTACATTCCGATTATGTACAATACTAGTCACTACCTTAATTGGCTTTGTATATAAGTATGTAGAAAATATACATACATCGAAATCGTTAAGCCAATTGTCGCTGATAAATTGATTAATCATCTTGCAAAACAACGTTTTCTAAATACGAAACATAGCACTATATTAGTCTATGTCTTACTATTGTAACTTTAAGTAAACCTTAACAAATTCAAACTTAAGTACGTGTTTAACTTTTGTATTAAAGAAAAATTAGCAAACTGAAACTGAACTGCTAATAGCCCGTTCTGCGTTGATTAGCCAAGATCGATGATAGATCTGAAATAAGATTTTTAACGCCCGTATACAAAGCTTAATGTCATAAAATCATATTACTGAAGTTGATAATTGTCTCTATTTAGGAATGCCAAAGTTTTTTCTTATTTACTTCCCTGTCGATAATACTACAGTTGTTCTTTCAAAAGAAGATTTTATCGATTACAACGGTGAAGGTTTAGTTGGCGATACAGTGAAAGTGAAATATAGCAATGACGTGTTTACTGGCAAAATATTATTTGCTGCTAATGATAAAAAATCGGTTGCATCACATACAATAGTACCAACATTTCCATCAAGAAAACGTCAACGGCTTAGTAAAACTCCACCGAAATCTACTGCACCACTAAATCATTTCACAGATGATCAAATTTCATTCTTGGAAAAAGATTTTATTTCTCAGATTAATGCTTCTCCAATTTTACATAATTTGGACCAAAATGTCAAAGTGTTAAACGAAGAAATGATGCATTGTTTTCGAGATATGACTGAAATCAAGGAAGTTACAAGTAATATGGCGAAAAGTATGAAAAATTTTGCTGATTTACTTTTCAGAATGGCGAAGAGAACAAATAAAGAATCTCATGAACAAGAAACACAAACAGATGAAGTACGTCGTAAAAGTTATTCATAAATATATTTTGTTCTCATTTCCTTCTATAATTATATTTTTATGTGCTCGCAGGACAGAATGCAGATCAAAAGGCAAGAAAAATAAGATCATTTAAAACGGAAACGAATTAAAAAGAAAGAGCAGGATTCTTTGAACATTCACGGTGATTGCAACGTGTGAAAATTTAAACGGAACCCTCCCATACCGAAAAAGTGCGTCTCTGAGGCCTCCTACTTTACTACACCACTAACACGGTGATTATTTTTATGTTTCATGAACTTTTCAGGTATACGTACTAACAACAGATTATACTACATCTCGTGCAGATGATCCATATAATTTTTACGATGAGAATGATTATGCTTTACAAACAATAAATACACAAATCAACCAACATGCTATGATTGAGTCATCATATTCTCCAGTAAAAGCTCATGTGTATGATAGTTGTGTACAAGTAAGCTTACAGCTTGAATAAATGAAAATGTATTGATTACTGAATTCTGTTGTAAGATCACTGATACAATAACTGAACTATCACCTCAACTTCCACAATGTGTGAGTATCCATTATTTCTAGAGTCTGCTAATTTACACATATATTCTTTTTGTTGCTTAGTTAAATATTTTCAGCGTTAACTCGACTCGTGAAAATGTTAGCTTAGAATTATTGGCTCCTTCACAAACAAAATCCGAAATCAAAATATCAATTGAAGTAAGCGTAAACGCAATCAGTTTTATTCTGCAAATAAATGAAACTGCTTCCAGCTCTTACGAATAATACATACCGTTTAGAGCTCGATCATAAAAGTGTCGGTGAAAGTATTTAGATTATATATCATTAAAAAGTGATTAGTAATAGACGTGAGAAGAAGAAAAGAAGTCTTACTTTTCTTTGCGATTTCTCTATAACGAAAAGAGAAAGGGACCGTATTGTATTCAAAGCGAAATTTACCGCTTTCTCTTAAAAGGATCAGCATTTATCTTATGTTGTCTGTTAAAGATCAAACTTTTAAAAATGCATTTGTCTAATTTTCCCATGTCTGCTTAGAATCATTTCATTCTAACCAATCCCAGCATTATCCAGCAACAATATCCAATTGACAAACCTAAATATTTAATTATGAAAAAGAAAACTGATAGAACATTAAATTCAGATTGCAAGGCCACTAGACATTTACTAAATCACCTAATTAGTTCTTTATATACATTTCATGAACTGGAAAACAGTTCAATCGACGGAAAAATATCCGGTACAATTCAATTTTCGGTATCAAAGATGATGGTGATTGATAATCATATGTTAAAACTCTATGGCTCACATTATGAAACGTATCGCAAATCGAAACTTTGTGCTGCCAAATAGCGAGAATCATTCAGAAGTCAGAAATCATACTTATCAAAAGCAAAACCCTACGAACAGCCACATAATCGCTAAAGCAACATTAATACGATCAACTTGATTTTCATAATTTATCGAACTATATTGTTATTTATATTCTACTTTACAATGCTAATCAAATCTGTTTTGTTTCTAGAGATTCACTTCACTGAAATCAGTGCTTTTACACGCGAAAGAATTGAAGATTATGTGACTTTTTCGTGTAAAGTTGTTCTTGCATATATTTCATATATAACATAGTTCAGCTTTATATTGTATCTGTGTAATTAATAATCGAAAAGAAAATTCTTCTATTGTGTACATATATCCTTTCGGAAAAATAGAGAAAGAGAGCAATATTCATCTACGCGTGCAAAAATATATACGTAGAATATAGTCCACGTCCATGTTCCACGCGTTCAATTATTTTCAACAAGTATTAAATATTCATTGTTTTATT